CGTGATCACAGAACCCAGCTCTCAAATCCCCCGGTGGCGCCAGGAATCCCTCGGATCTCCTTTCCCCAGTCAGGGGCTGTGCCTGTCCCAAGGGCCGCGGCTGTCCGCCACGCGGTCTCCCTCCGATCCTCTGTGCTCAGAGGTCTGGCAAACTTTCCTGCCCAAATCCCTGGGTTTTTTTTACCTTTCCAGGGGAGTTCTGCCCTTCCTGGCTGCAAACCGTCTCACCAGCTGAGTAATTTCTCCAATTCGGGGTGGGTGTTATTAGTTTCAGCTGCTCACTCCATTTGCTCCGGGACACGACCTGGGACGCGTCTGCCTATATCGCCACCATCTTCCGTCTCCTCCTTTGCCCATTTTAAAATTGCATTGTTTGTCTTCCTTTTATTAAGTTGTGTAAGTTCCATGTATATTTTAAAAGTAACCCCTTATTGGATGCATCATTATCAAATACTAGAGGCGAGTGCACAAAATTCGTTCAACGGAGGGGGGAACAGTGGGTCCCTCAGCCTGGCCTGCACGCATCCTCTCACAATCCGGGACCCCTCAGGGGATGTCAGACTGCTGGTTTAGGTCCCATCCTGCTAAACCAGCAGTTGGACATTCCTCTCACAATCCGGGACTCCTGGTTCCTAACCGCTCGCCTGCCTGCCTGATCGCCCCTAACCATTCTGCCTCCTGCCTGATGCCCCAAACCATTCTGCTTGCCTGCCTGATGTCCCTAACTGATTGCCTACCTGCCTGAGCACCCCTAACCACTTGCCTGCCTGCCTGCCTGATTGCCCCTAACCACTCGCCTGCCTGACTGCCACTAACCACTTGCTTGCCTCCCTGATTGCCCCTAACCACTCGCCTGCCTGCCTGATTGCCCCTAACCACTTGCCTGCCTGCTTGATCACCCCTAACCACTCACCTGCCTGCCTCATTGCCCCTAACTGCTCACCTGCCTACCTGATCACCCTAACCACTCTGCCTGCCTCCCTGATCGCCCAACTGCTCACTTGCCTTCCTGGTCGCCCCTAACTGCCTCTGCCTCGGCCCCGCCACCACAGCTTCATCTGGAAGGACATCTGGAAGATCATTCGGCTGTCTGGTCTAATTAGCACATTGTGCTTTTATTATTATAGACTAGAGGCCCAGTGTACGGATTCATACACTGGTGGGGCCCCTCACCCTGGCCTCTGCCCTCTGGCAATTCGGGACCCCTTAGGGGATGTAGCAGCGTGCAAAAGGGCAGGCGGCAGGGGAGGAGCCCTAGTTGGGGTCAGGCACCGCGCTGCTCCCTCTCATCCCAGCCCTGCTGCACCTGCTGCCACAGCTGGCTGCTGGGTAGCACTGCTGCAGCGGCTGTAGAGGCTCCTGCCACCGCCCCTACACTCGCCAGCTTTGAGCCTGGCTGAGAGGCACTCCTGCTGTGGGAGCACAATGACCACCAGGGGGCAGCTCCTGCGTTGAGCATCTGCCCCCTGATGGTCAGTGTGCGTCATAGCGACTGGTCGACCGATTGTTTGGTCAACTGGTTGTAATGGTCGCTTAGG